TAATCACGCAGCGTGGCTTTGTTCCATTTAGAATATCCTTTGACGGTCGGTCTGAACATATTACTCTCCATTTTATTATAGGAAATATAATTTTTTTTTCTAATTTTTTTTGAGGGCGATCAATTATTTCATAATCCGTGAGAGCTTGACTGTAGTGGAAATTCCCTCTTTTTTATCCTGAATTTCAAGGTTACATTGTTTATCCCGAGTTTCAAGGTCACGTTGTTTACGCCAAATTTCTATCGTGCCTCAACCCGTTTCAAGGTCACGTTGTTTACGCCAAATTTTTTCAAGGTCACGAGGTGGTGACATCACCTCATTTTAGCGACGACAGATTAATTTTTTAACTCCAGAGCGACAGGCCCTGACTTGGCACACATTTTGCTATTTTGCTCCCGAATCAGTTCTGACGTCAGATTTCTAAAAATTTGCCGCGGGGGATTCCCCTATATTTTTCCCCCAACTATTTTTAAAACTGAGAGCGGCGTGTCCAGGCTTGCCACAGTTTTTTTTTCCATTTTGGTCCCGTACCCCCACCTTCCCTACTACTCCTGCATAATGATCTATGTTTCCTACCTCCATGTTGCATGCATGTTTGCTATGAACTGACATATTCTATTTTGAATTGGATGATGTAGTACAGTGATTTTGTTGAACATCTTTTCTCCAGATGGTTTGATCGTATTGTGTTATCTTTGAGGAATGTGGTTACTTGGTAGGCCCTAGTCTTTTGTGGCATTTCAGTTGACTCAATATGGTTACAGCGGCATACAACTGTATTGAAATGCCCCAAAGAGTATTAGGTGACTACAAAGTAGGCAGTATTGTTAAAGCAGTCTATGTTAATTATTAATTTTGTGGGTTGCTGTGGTCAATTTATACATATATGATGTGTTGCATTAGATGATCAATTTACAAAGTGGTGTATTAAATTCTTTGGTACATCATTTGTCAGACGTCAGACCCTTATGCTTATTGACGTTCAACATTTAGAAATAGGGTGACAACTAAAGTGGTACTACTGCAATGGTATTTTTCACAAATTAAGGATTGACTATAAACAAAATAAAAGTGCCCTTTACAAATACAATAAATTATTTACAATCTAAGCTCCTTTAGCATGATGCCAAAAGTCTGAAGATCTGTATGTTGTGTAAAGTGTGGCATGATCGCGTACGGATTCAGATGTGTATGCTGTATGCATTTTTCAACCTGCTTGACCTTTGTGTTCGACACATGTTTGCATGTGATATTTGCATGCGAGTGCATGTGATCATGTGGAAGATAAACATCAATTACATAACTATGGTGGGGGAGGGGTGTGTATGCCCTCCACAGACAGATGTTCACGAGTCCTGAGTATGTTCTGGTACAAAATGGTTGAACAAAACATATATGGTTTGTCTTCAGTTCTTTCCCCTCCTTTTCAAAAATGTACATACTCCTGAAGCCCACATCGCCCCCCCCCCAAGAGTGTGACTGTACATAATGTAGTTAAGTCACTTGAAAAAGGCAAATGTCTTTTGATTCTAGTTGATCATGTGTCTTTTAAAATCCTGAGTATTACACAAATCTGCCTGTTGTGCAAGACAAAAGGCAATTTTGTGAAGAATTGTGTTGCGGTTGTTACACACTAGTTGTCACCCTAACTGTATTCATACTTCATTTACAAATGTATTTTTTCTACTTATTTTGTTTTCAGAAATGAAGAGTGTCGTGACGCCATCCAAGACATCAAGTTCTTTCTGGTCTGTTTTTGTGCAGTTCGTCCAGTGTGTCTGTCCCATTAACCATGCCCTGTCATCTCATTTCATTCCTTAGTGTGTTCAGTTCATTCCACATTCACTCCAACATTTCATCTCCTAAATATCTAATGAATAAAAGTTGTTACATGTGAGCTGAAGTTGTTATATGTGAGCTGAAGTTGTTATATGTGAGCTGAAGTTGTTTTTTGTGAGCTAAACGTGTTCTGTGTTAAAGCTATTTTGTTATAAAGTTACAAAGCTGAAGTTGATTGCCAATTCAAAGGCAAAGATTACATGCTGAAGTTGATTGCCAATTCAAAGGCAAAGATTACATGCTGAAGTTGATAGCCAATTCAAAGGCAAAGATTACTTGCTGAAGTTGATTGCCAATTCAAAGGCAAATTTTACTTGCTGAAGTTGATTGCCAATTCAAAGGCAAAGATTACATGCTGAAGTTGATTGCCAATTCAAAGGCAAAGATTACATGCTGAAGTTGATTGCCAATTCAAAGGCAAAGATTACTTGCTGAAGTTGATTGCCAATTCAAAGGCAAATTTTACTTGCTGAAGTTGATTGCCAATTCAAAGGCAAACATTACTTGCTGAAGTTGATTGCCAGATCAAAGGCAAAGATTACTTGCTGAAGTTGATTGCCAATTCAAATACAAAGATTACTTGCTGAAGTTGATTGCCAATTCAAAGGCAAAGATTTCTTGCTGAAGTTGATTGCGAATTCAAAGGCAAAGATTACTTGCTGAAGTTGATTGCGAATTCAAAGGCAACGGTTACTTGCTGAAGCTGATTGTCCATTCTGAGCTCAAGATTACAAAACTGAAGTTGATTGTCAATTTGTAGCCAAAGATGACAAAGTTGAAGTCAGTGAATGTTTTCAAGGTAAACTCAAGATTTATATCAGGGAATGTGTGGAAACCAAATTTCCAACAAGAATCAAAGTGTGGACAAAATGCAATCCCATTGTGTATCATTGAGTTCATACAAGAACGTACAGGCATGCTTGAGTCTAATGCTGAACATGTGTGTGAATCAGAACCTGTGTACATGTTTGTTCCTGTGGCAGATGTTGAAAGACATGTGAATCGATGGAAGAAGTGGAGAATCAACAAAATGACCACAAAGAGATTGAAACAGCAGAAAGCAGTGCGAAGGTTGAAGGCCAGTGGGAAAACATGCTGCAGTAGACATCAGGTATTGGATTGTGTTGTAGAGTATATCAAAGAGACAAAGAAGGTGTCAAAAACGAACAGAAAGAAAATCAGAAGATGTGAACGAAGACAAGCATTACATAGGTTGAGGAATGGCAAGGTCATTGAACAGCGTATGAGTAAGGAAGAGAGGAGGAACCATGAGAAAACACAAAAGAGTATGCAGAGTCACACAAAAAGAAGTCTGTCTTATGTTATCAAGAAAATGAAAAATAAAGAGCAAAGCCAAAAAAGGAAGTCGATCAAACATAAGAATGAACAGGTCTTGTTGAAGAGAAGTAAATGTTCAGATGGACTAAATGGGAATATAGGAAGAAAACTTCACAAGAGATGTAGTGTTGAGAAGTCAGCAGTTACGGATGTGAATCGTTCTATAAACGAAGTACAAGTCAAACAATGTTGGTTGTGTGATCAAGTGGCTAGTGAACACGATCAAGTTGTGCAGTGTGATTGTTAATGTATTCACATGTTTGCATTTGTGTATAGCGCCCTCTTTCAGATGACTTTGGAGAACACAACTGAGCCACGAACAAACACACATTAGCACATGTAAAATCCCTTCATGTCAGACATCTTTGGACGATATTTTCTGAGAATCACTTGAGGTTTTGTCTCTTTTGAGACCCAACAAACTGAAATAAGAGGGAAAGGATGCAAGGAGGTAATTTAGAGACTCTTGTAATGCTTGAGAAAGAAGTGTAAACTATATATTTGATTCATTTTATAGATAATTCTGCGATCAGTTTTGACATTCTATAGTTCAAAATTGAGTGTGATTTTCGTATATGTTTAACCATTGAATTTAGGAATTTCGATTAAGTGATGATTTATGTACGATGCTTTTATAATTCATGTAACACTCTGTGAACTTAAGGATATTTACTTTGTTTATATATTCACAGTTTTCACGAAGCCACTGCGGATTATTTCACAAGCCACTGCGAACCATTTCATGGAAGACTTGCGAATCATTTTCATCATGTTCATGGAATAAATGCGAGATGTTATAATCAACGGCTTCTGTAGAGACCCTTGTTTACTCCTTAGTTACCGACCTTTGACCTAGATGTGACCTGTGACCTAGATGTGACCTGTGACCCCCTGCGAAACCCCTAGTAGTAGCACTACGAACACCTAAAAGACTGCACCTCGAAATTGATTTAGTGCTGCCGCTACAGTGAAAACTCTTGCGTAACTTAAGCAGTCTTTGCTACAAGAACCTCCCCCTGCGTGATCAGTGATTGTGCGACACATCCTCACATCTGGAGACGAGGCTGTACCTGCGTTGAGTACTGATGAGATGGCTTCACTCTTGTAGCTGCGACACGAGTGCCCGTTCCGGTACCATCAACCATCGACCCAGCGACCCTGCGACCTGTCGTCCGTTGCGACCGTGACTGTTCTTCGGACATCATGGACTTCATGAACATGGGATCCAGCTGTTCTACCGGACATCATGGACATGTGATTTCTTGATCATCAAGACTTCATCGTGGATCTTTGAACTGGACAGTAAAAACTGAGTTTGCGTCTATTTGTGCATTTTGATTTGCATAATTGTAATTTGCATTTGTGATTTGATGCAAATTGTTATTTGATTTGAGCTTTGTTGATAACAATTCAGAATTTGTTCCAGAATATAAATATACTGTATGCGATACATGTACACTGAATTATAGTGGTATTGAGATCAATCACATTGTTTGCCATTTTCCGTTCACGTGCGAAGTGTATTTTACTACAAGTATTGCATGTACATGTGTAGTGCTAGTTACATGTACATGTACATGTACATAGGTGTGTACCATTGAACATACATGGTGTATATGCAATTGTTTTACATGTAAGTTGGATTTGGTGATACAAGTAGATTGCACAAATTTATTTGTGTTTATAATTGTACCTTTTGTTGATTTTACACCCATTGAATTTGAGCAAAGAGTTACATACTAGATAGTATTAACTATTTGATGATTAAGTTTTGAAACTTGATATACATGTAAGTCTACATCAGTACATGTGTTCTGTACGCCATGGCTGACTCAACAGAAGAACGAAAGCAGTCTTCGCCTACACCCTTCCTCGTTCCTACACCAGAAATTCCGGAAACACCAGATGCGCAACCCCCCTCTAGTGAACTGACATCAATACTCTGCAACCCACAGCTTCTTCAGCAAATTAGAGATCATATCTTGAGCAAAGAAGAACGCCTCAGCGGACATTCAAGAGCCACCAGATCTTCAAGGCAATCAAGATTTTCAGGAGTTTCGGTCAAGGCAACGCTTGCTGCCGAGGCAGCTGCCTTGAAAGCGAGGCTTGAGTTTGCAGATGTTGAAGGAAAACAGAGAGCAGAGGTCGAACGGCAACAAGCTGAACTCAAGAAAATCCAAACTTTGACAGACCTGCATGAAACCGAAGCAAGGTTAAAGGCCATCGAGCAAGCAGAACGAGAAGAATATGCTGAAATTGTGACTGATGCCGTGAAGGAAACAGACAGCCAAACTTCACTAGTAGAAGAATACATCAAATCCCTGCCTACCCCGAACGCTACTCATGGAGCGGATGAGTCTGCAGTAAAGTCAGTCTCACCAGTAGGAACACCGGAAATTCCACAGCCAGACCAAGACTCTAGTACATCACAGCAGCAGATCAAAAACGAGTTGAGAACGCCCAGTCCACAGACTACGCTGCAAGATCTCACAAAGACGTTTGCAGAGCAGATAAACCTGAGTCGTCTACCGACGCCAGAGCCTGGTGTATTTACTGGCGACCCCCTTAAGTATCCAAGATGGAAGCGTGCCTTCGAAATACTCATCGAACAAAGGGGCATCCCACGCTCAGAGAGACTCCACTACCTACAAAAGTACCTGGGTGGAACTGTGAAGGAGTCCATAGAGGGCTACTTCTTCCTCTCAACTGACGATGCATTTGACAAGGCAAAGGAGCTTCTTGAGAAGAGATTTGGAGATCCCTTTGTTGTTGCCAACGCTTTCCGCAACAAGCTGGAATCATGGCCCAAGATCTCTCCTCGTGATGGAACTGGGATGCGAAATCTTGCTGACTTCCTCGGTCAGTGCCAGGTGGCTATGGAGACAATTGGTAGCCTCCAGGTACTCGATGACGAAAGAGAGAACAGAAAAGTACTTGTCAAGCTCCCTGACTGGTTGATCAACAAATGGGCTAGAAAGGCTGTGGAGTTCAAAGAAAAACAGAAGAAGTATCCTCCATTCAGCGACTTTGTAAAGTTCATGCAACTGGAGGCCAAGATTGCATGCGACCCTGTGACTTCGATACAAGGACTCAGGGGACAAGACAGACAAAACGACAAAGGTGAAAGGAAAAGAACCCCAGGAGGGAGTTCCTTTTCAACCAGTGCGAATGAGGCAACAAAGAACAGCAACACAGGAAGGGGGATCCAGAATCAAAGGTCCTGCCTTCTCTGTAGCAAGAATCACAACTTGGGCGATTGCTGGGAATTTCTGAAACAGCCATTGGAAGAGCGCAAGACTTTTGCGATGAAAAAGGGGCTTTGTTTCGGATGTCTTAGCCAAGGGCATATGTCAAAGCACTGCAAACGGAGAGCCACGTGCAAAACCTGTGCAAAGTCTCATCCGACAGCTCTTCATGGAGACATAAGAAAGACAGAGAAACCCACAGAAGGTGGAAGAAATCCTCAGCAGAATTCTGAGAAGCAGCAAACATCTGTCAGCTCCCACACAGGTGTTAGTCATCTTAGTGGAACGAGCAACTGCTGTAAAAGTTCGATGATCGTCCCAGTATGGGTCTCACATCGTGATAAACCGGAGAAAGAGAGGCTGGTCTATGCGCTCTTGGACACTCAGTCAGATACGACATTCATTTTGGACAGCACATACGAGGCATTGGATCTACAGGGTACCGAGGTCAATTTACTGCTGTCCACCATGTTTGCGGAGGATCAGAAGGTAGCAAGCAGAAAGATAGATGGGCTGATAGTGCGTGGGTTCGACAGCCATCTAAAGATTTCGCTACCAGCTGCATACTCAAGGGAAATAATGCCAGCCAACCGTTCTCATATCCCGACCTCAGAGATGGCCAGGAAGTGGCCACACTTGGAGAAGCTTGCTGATTTGTTGATGCCTTCGACTGACTGCGAAGTAGGCATTCTCATCGGCTATAATTGTCCGCGTGCCTTGGCACCTCGTGATGTCGTTCCTCCTGTCAACAATGGACCATATGGTCAAAGAACCGACCTTGGCTGGGGCATCGTCGGTATTGTAGACCCCAACCAGTGCGAAGTCGACGACTGTGATCCTATCGGTGTGAGTCACAGAATTCTGATCCATGAAGTACCATCGTTTTTGACAGTTGGTGAAAGTCCAAAGGGATGTACAGAAGAGAATGTTGATAACATTCAATTCTCCTTCAGAAGTCGTGTAAAGGAGATGGTCAGTCCCTACGAAGTTGCACAAATGATGGAACTAGACTTCTCCGAGCGAAAGTCAGACGAGATTGCACTGTCTCAAGACGACCGTAAGTTCTTGACCAAGATGGAGGAGGGTATTCATCAAAAATGCGACGGTCACTTCGTTATGCCGTTACCCTTCAAGGAAGCAGAACCTAACCTTCCAAACAACAAGATTCAAGCTCTTCAGCGTCTCAAGCAGCTAAAGGGCCGGTTCAAGAAGAACCCGCAGTATCACAGCGAGTACAATGCCTTCATGGATAACATCATCAAGAGTGGCTATGCTCAGAAGGTTCCTGATTCCGAGCTTCATGTCTCTGATGACTGTGTATGGTACATACCCCATCATGGTGTCTACCATCCGAAAAAAACCTGAGAAAATCAGAGTGGTCTTTGACTGCAGTGCCAAGTTTGAAGGAAAGTCATTGAATGACTATCTCCTACAGGGTCCTGACCTGACCAACACACTTGTGGGTGTCCTATGTAGGTTCCGACAACAACCGATCGCCTTTATGTGCGATATAGAGCAAATGTTCTACCAGTTCTATGTGATTCCAGATCACCGGAAGTTCCTTCAATTCTTGTGGTGGGAAAAGGGAGACCCTGAAGCTGAACCAAAGGAGTTCCAGATGAATGTCCATCTGTTTGGTGCGGCATCGTCCCCTGGGTGTGCGAACTTTGGTCTCAAACAAATTGCGAACAGCTATGAAGAAGAATGTGGTTCTGCAGCTGCGAACTTTGATAACGAACACCAAGGATCTCTGTGGCAGAGGTGGTTTGCGATTGCATAAGTTTGTCTCCAATTCACGAGAAGTGATGGAAGCAGTTTCGCCACAGGATCGTGCCAAAGGAATCAAGGATCTTGACTTGCGTCACGACTCTCTCCCCATCGAGCAAGCACTTGGCGTCCACTGGTGTATCGAGTCGGACACATTCCAGTTTCAAATCATTCTGAAGGACCAACCACTCACAAGACGAGGAATCCTTTCCACGATCAGTTCGGTATATGATCCTCTTGGATTTGTGAGTCCTGTTCTGTTGGTTGGTAAGCAGATATTACAGGAGCTGTGCAGAAATCAGGCAGAGTGGGATGATCCACTTCCTGAATCCTTACGGCCAACTTGGGAACGGTGGAGGAGTGATTTGGCTCTTTTAGAGAACTTCAAGATGCGACGATGCTTTCTTCCGGAGAATTTTGGTCGTGTTGAATCAGTAGAGATTCATCATTTCTCTGATGCGAGTACCACTGGCTATGCCCAATGTTCATACCTGAGACTCACCGATGACCAGCGAAGAGTACACTGCAGCCTCATCATGGGGAAATGCAGAGTTTGTCCTCTGAAGCCAGTTTCTGTGCCACGCCTTGAGCTAACAGCTGCGGTGGTGTCAGTCCGTGTCAGTGCTCTGTTACAGAAGGAGCTCGAGTATGAGAATGTCTATGAGGTCTTCTGGACCGACAGTAGGGTAGTGTTGGGTTACATTGCCAATGATGCACGGAGATTCCATGTTTTTGTTGCGAATCGGGTACAGCGTATCAGAGACCACACCAAGCCTTCCCAGTGGCGACATGTTGCTACAGATGTTAATCCGGCAGATGACGGATCAAGGGGTCTTGGAGTTGAGGAATTGATGAACAGATCAAGGTGGCTTGTTGGACCCAACTTTCTGTGGGAAGAGCAGGATCCTATCACAATCGAAGCCAGCAGTCCAACCATATCTCCAGAGGATCCGGAAGTGAAGAAGGTCAAGAGCCTTGCTACACAGACTGCGAAGCAGACATTCGAGCTTGAACGTCTTGAGCGTTTCTCTGAATGGCATCAAGCCAAGAGAGCTGTAGCGACTTGTCTGAAGTTCAAGTCTCTCCTGATGAAACCACAGCCAAATTCGATCCAGGCTCTACGAAAAGATGCGGTTCCTCTCTACAAACCTGTGATGGTAGAGGACATGTGCCAAGCGGAACTAGAAATCCTGAGACTGGTGCAGAAAGAAGCCTTTGCAGAGGAAATCAAAATCATGCAATCTCTCAAGGCCAACAGCGACAACCCTAGCAGATCCAAGGTTCGAGAGCGTAACAAAGTCATGAAGACTAAGAGTTGTCTCTACAAATTGGACCCATTTCTGGATGCTGACAACATTCTGCGAGTTGGAGGCCGCATTAGAAGGGCTGGGTTTCCTTCTAACTTCAAACACCCAGCTGTCTTGCCCAGAAAGCACCACATCACCGAATTGATCATTCGACATTGCCATCAGCAAACCCAACATCAGGGTCGGGGCATGACCGTGAATCAAATCCGAATGAATGGCTTTTGGATTATTGGCTGTAGCTCGGCTGTTTCCTACTACATATCCAAATGCGTACGATGCAGGAAGCTCTTCGGCCAAGTTCAAGAGCAGAAGATGGCGGACCTGCCGGAAGACCGTCTCGAACCGGCACCACCATTTACCAACTGTGGCGTGGACTTCTTTGGTCCTTGGTATATCAAAGAAGGAAGAAAGGAATTAAAGAAATACGGAGTTCTCTTCACGTGCATGGCAACACGTGCCATTCACATCGAAACAGCAGCAAGTCTCAGCTCAGACTCCTTCATCAATGCTGTACGGAGATTCATTTCCATTCGTGGGCCCATACGACAGCTGAGATCTGATAGAGGCACGAACTTCATTGGGGCAGAGTCCGAGCTCAAAGAAGCTGTCGCTGAAATGGACCATGGCTCTGCGAGGCAGTTTCTCCTGAAGGAGGGATGCGATTACAGCCACTATGAAGTCAAGATGAATGCTCCATCAGCCAGCCATACAGGAGGAGCATGGGAACGACAAATACGTTCGGTGCGTAGAGTTCTGGGACCACTGATGCATCAGGCAGGCTCTCAGCTTGATGACGAGTCTTTGAGAACACTGATGTGTGAAGCAGCTGCAATTGTTAACAGTAGACCTCTTACAGTGGACAACTTGAATGACCCAACTTCGCTTGCGCCACTTACCCCAAATCACCTGTTGACGATGAAATCTACTATCATCTTGCCACCGCCTGGAAGGTTCCAGCGTACTGACATATACTCCCGCAAACGATGGCGTCGAGTTCAATACTTAACGAATGAGTTTTGGTCACGATGGAGGAAGAAGTTTATTCAAAACCTCCAACTGCGTCAAAAGTGGATACGACCACAGGATGCCCTTCACATTGGGGACATTGTCATCATCAAAGACGAGAATCTTCCTCGCAATCAATGGTTGCTTGCTCGGATTGCTCAGGTGTTCCCAGGCGAGGACAATCATGTAAGGAGGGTCAAACTCGCTATTGGTGACCCCCACTTGGACGACAAGGGAAAGCGAGTCCATTCTGAGAAGTTCCTGGAGCGTCCCATCCAGAAGCTAGTCTTACTTGTGGAGGACTTGGAGACCAGGGGAATCCCCGACGAGGAGCCCTGAGAAGCTTCAACATACATGTTGTGTTTAGTAGTTGTATGCTTAGATAACCTGTTAGTTTATTGTTGTTTAAAGTACTTGAGTTTAGAAATTTGATAGTTTATCTTGTTCGAAGGTAACTGATTACCAGTAAGAGGCTTTAAAGATGATTTATTGTATGTTTGTACAATGTACTCAGACAACTTAAAGGAGCAGTTACCATGTAATTTTTGCATTTTAGTCTAATCAGTGCATGTTCACAATGTTGATCAAGACGAGTCTAGATTACTATAACTTCTGATTGTAAATTAGTTACACTAATTTGGGGAGCCATGTTAATGTATTCACATGTTTGCATTTGTGTATAGCGCCCTCTTTCAGATGACTTTGGAGAACACAACTTAGCCACGAACAAACACACATTAGCACATGTAAAATCCCTTCATGTCAGACATCTTTGGACGATATTTTCTGAGAATCACTTGAGGTTTTGTCTCTTTTGAGACCCAACAAACTGAAATAAGAGGGAAAGGATGCAAGGAGGTAATTTAGAGACTCTTGTAATTCTTGAGAAAGAAGTGTAAACCATATATTTGATTCATTTTATAGATAATTCTGCGATCAGTTTTGACATTCTATAGTTCAAAATTGAGTGTGATTTTCGTATATGTTTAACCATTGAATTTAGGAATTTCGATTAAGTGATGATTTATGTACGATGCTTTTATAATTCATGTAACACTCTGTGAACTTAAGGATATTTACTTTGTTTATATATTCACAGTTTTCACGAAGCCACTGCGGATTATTTCACAAGCCACTGCGAACCATTTCATGGAAGACTTGCGAATCATTTTCATCATGTTCATGGAATAAATGCGAGATGTTATAATCAAAGGGCTTCTGTAGAGACCCTTGTTTACTCCTTAGTTACCGACCTTTGACCTAGATGTGACCTGTGACCTAGATGTGACCTGTGACCCCCTGCGAAACCCCTAGTAGTAGCACTACGAACACCTAAAAGACTGCACCTCGAAATTGATTTAGTGCTGCCGCTACAGTGATACTTGTAAAATCTAATATCATGTCAATTGTATGGGATTTGCAAACATTCAGTCTGTGCTTGCAAGCAAATCCGTAGCATGGCTGTGTCTAAAATGTGGGAGGTGTACCTACAATGACTCTTTGTTGTATGATCTTGGCATTCCGACTAATGAGAACAAATTTGAGATGCCATCATCTGAAGTGAACACTGGTGCCTCAATATTGTGTTTATGATTTCACACCATCTCATATCAGCTACAGAAAATGAGCAAAACCATGTAGGTATTCCAAGCTGTCTAATTATAGCCATGACATCTTTTTGAGTTGCTTGCCAGTATGGGGGTGTACCTCTGATTGGTTTCAAGAACCTATAACCACTATCAGACTGTAAAATATCTCTCAGTTGATCTTTATCTTTAATCATGCTAGCATTTACACCTTCAGCACAGTGTACTTTGCCTGAACTCTGACGCATTGCAATTAAAACTTTTGACATTACTTGTTGGATTTCTGACAGACACTGAGCATAGAAGATGTACTGAATATTTCTTGCAAATCCATTATCTGCATTCATTAACCTATTATGAAAATATCTAGACAGACTCAATTTCCCATCACGATCATCACTGAAAATAGGGGTGCCTGTTGGAAATAAGGCTGGGAAACATTTGGCCTCATTAGCTTTCTCCATTAACACTCTGACTGGGGTATTTCGTTCACAAGTGGCAACACACATGATATCGTCAAAATCTTGATCCAAAGCATCTTGAGCAATGTTAACTGGCTGCAAACATGTATCGTAAACAATGCCTGTCAGACGTTCTTCATCTGTGTCCACATCAGTGTCTTCATCACTTTCACTTGAATTATCAGATTCATTCTCTTCTTGGATTTCATGTTTATCTTTCAAAGGATTGTCCCATTCACAGTTAATCTCAATTGCACTATACGATTCATTATGCTCCTTTAGATAACGTAGTGCACGCTCAACATGTTCTCTGCTGACATATTGATACTGGTAGTATCCTTTGAATGACAATTTTCTCTTCAACTTAACTTTGATTAAATGATTGTTATTTCCACATCTAGGTAATGATGTTACTGTTTCTGAAATATTTGATGGTACACATACAACTGGCCCATGCACAGCATTCTGACCTCCTCTGGGTAAAGCCATCATTTTCATAAATGCTACATTAATTTCAATCAGATGTTCCTCCAATGTATTCAAACAGCTCAATTCCTCAGGGATCTCTTCCAATGCCAAATTGTTTGCACAAGCTTCTGCTGGTATCTTATTCTGAAGCAATTTTCTATGACATGTAAAGCAAATCCACAAACT